CTGTTCACTGGCTGATTTTCAGAAGTAGATTTCCAGGTCATTCTTCCGAGTCTGTCTTAGTCTGGAGTTTCCATCGAAACCTGTCTACCACGGATGGCCCTTCTGGTCTTTGAAATATTGATGACATAGCTTCCAACATCATAGCAACATTCAGGCCGCCCCTGTGAGACGAACTAACAGACATAGCTAACAGTCCATAACCAGGGCGGTCTTCTCTCTCTGGGGGTCTGCTAATAAAATATCTTTTAGTTCCTCGGTTGACACGAGTTTGGGAAGGAGAGCGTAGCGCTTAAAAGTGTGAGGTCGACAATGTCCTGATCAATAAGCAGTGATCCGGCATCTCTGGCCAGCTGTGTTGGGGCAGACTGTGCCTCACACTGTGTTCTAGAAGCATCCACTTAGGAAACTAATGAGGAAGAACAATCATACAAGGGCCTCAGGTAGCTTGGGGATGATCATGGTTGGGGATTACTTGCCGATGAGTTGCTTCTAAATTATTTTTACTTTATTAAAATTTTTTAAAGGGGAGAGCCTGAATGCAGTCTCCCACTACCACAAATTATGCAGATGAGTTTCCCACATTTGGGGAAATCACAAGGGTCAGCATATCTGGAGTGCAATGGCTAAGCCTTGCCCTGGGAAAACCACCTCTGAGATCTTGGCATTTCTCCTGCCAATAAGTATAATTATTTTTACTTTGATCTCCACACGAGCCATCTGTCATTGCCCCCCTTGCCCCATGCATGTCCATTCCCGGGATAGTCTTCCTTCACCATGCACCTAGTCTTTCAGGCCATGTTCTCTGGCCTCCAACCGTACCTCAGAGGCTAGATGTTTGGAGTACTTCTTCAAAGCACATATCCTAATTGTAAACTTCCACGTATTTGTCCAGTGTTTGTTGGTGGTCTGCCCTCTCCAGAAGGCTGGATCCATATGTGGTTTTTCCACTGGCATGGAGAAGTTGCTCTTTCCTTACAGAAATGAATGAATGCATGAATGAATGGATTCTTATTCTGGCTCCTCCCTTGCCACTACCCCCCTCTCTTCTGATAATCCATGTTCTATTGTCTTAAAACTATAACGATGAAAGGAAGATGTGGTCCCTCCTTTGAAGATGTATCTACTTCTAGTTCTCTCCCTGATAGACTTTTTTGGGCTTGCCATTCCTACAGACACCAATTTCTCTACCACGTACTTTTAGAACTTGGCACCTGGAGTTTTCCTGTGGGTGGAAATTTCCTGTGGGCAGGGACTGTGCTAGACACAGAGTCAGGAGAAAATGCTTCCAGGGATGTAGGAATTACAGGAGCTTTAGGGGAAGGCTGGCTTGTTCCTCAAGGGCACCCACAGTGGGGAGCCCTGCTCCCAGAGTCCTTAGAAAAGGGATTCCTGATCAGGGCTTTATTCTCCAGAGTGGGATAAATAATGAACATATTTGACTGCCAACTGAAAGATTGGAGGCTTGAGTCCACTAAGATGTGCTTTGGAAGAAAGGCCTGGGATTCTACTTCCAAATCATCAGTCACTGAGAACCCCATGGAGCACGGCTCCTTTCTGACCACATGGGATTGCCATGAGGTAGGGTGGACTGGACAGATTTCTTTTTTT